AACTAGCTATTGTGATTTTACATATCAGTTACTTGAAAATGCTGGTGTATTCTCTCTCTCTCTGTCTCAATTCTCACAGATATGTGCTCTCTCATGCTTACATGATCTTGCATACCCTATTACTTAAGAAAAAAACAAAGCAAAAAAATAAATCTAATGGTGGTAAAAAGCCTTTAAAATCCTTGTCAAACTGAATGTTGCATTTTCACTCCTTGAGTGGTCCATTTAAAAATCCATTTTAGCTACTCTTCCAGATAAGCTTATCCATAAGAATCATACATTTCGCCATAGGTAGAAAATAAATATAATTTGTCACACGTTGTGCTATACAGACATTTCTGCACAGTTGCTGCACTGCACTAGAATGTCTGAAGGGGAAGACACCCCAGGTAGTTGGCTGCAGACATATCTCAGCAACATGGCACGTAGTTACAATTTGACACATATAGTCTTTATAAATCCAATGTCTATGAAGTCAAACAAATCTCCTTCTTATTTATAGTAACAGGCGAGAGCAGATCTCTGCCGTCTTGTTACACAGATGGTTGTAACATTTTTATAGTTAACTTACAACCACTGATGCCTAAGGAATAGACACACATCTGCCCCGAACTGCCAGTCCTGTAGGCTCTTCTTTTTTAACTTTAGCTAGCAAAAATACAGTTGAATTACATCTAACAGTGTCACCCCCAAAACCTACCACAGCAAAAAGCCCCATAAAAATCTGCATAAAATGTATTATTACTGTTAAAGTTATACAGATTGAACAGCGATCACACACCTTACAGCAAAAATAACAGTAATACCAACTCTAATCACCAAAACAGAGAAAATTCATGACCCCAAATTTCATATGCTGAACTTAGTTTGAAAAAATGTTTGGAAAAAAACTCATTAGAAGCTTCTAAATATACATTCTATTAAAAAGATTTTAAAAGAGACTTCCACTTCACATTAACTACTGTCCAAATGCTTTTTTTTCTTTACCTGCTTGATAAAAAGTAAAGGCATGGCCAGTTCATCTTGAAAAAATGAAAGAAATTGCTTAGGATTTTCTTCTCCTGCTTGAAGATGCTACTCCATATTTGGTGCATCACCTGGGTCTTTAACAGGAAACATACATAGGAAAGAGCTAAGCTATATTTAATTAAATGCTTCCCATTTTAGACACTGGCTGTCCACAGAAGAAATTCTCAAAATAGCTGACTTAAAATCAAATGCCTGCTTTATGAGAAGAAAAGATGCAGAAAAGCAAAGCCATAACTGAATGTGGTAACTACAGGAGTTAAGTTCAGTGAGAGCTTAAATAGCTTGATGAAATCCTGACCCATGGCAGCTTGGGCAAATAGTACTTATTTACAAATACATTCCAACAGTAATAAGATCTAGGTAGATTCTTGTCTTTTTCTTCTTACTCCCAAATCGAGAGAGAAAAGTGCTTGTGAGAAAGTGGATCTGCATTTACAGAACTGGTCTAACTACAGAGGTGTAAACACATGCCTGGGAATTCAGTTTGAAAACAGATTAAAGAGAGAATGAACCTACTTTATGTGTACAGTTACAAAATTCATTTGGGTTTGAATTTTCCCTCGTCTGGAATCTATTCACTTTACGTGGAGTGGAGCATCAAAAAAAACCCCAAAAGCCAACCTTTTATTTTTGCTTCATATTCTTTTTACTCTTGGCTGGTTCCTATCTTTACAGCTGCCTTACATAAAATTCTGTATTTTCTGCTACCTGCTAATTTCTACTATGAACTCAAGTCTACAGAGTGGGAATTTGAAGAATTTAATAACACAATTTGCTGTGAGGTTGAAAATTTATACAAAAAGACTCTTTGCTACATAACAGACAAGAATTTATTTCTCCAAGATTCAGATCCATGAAGTCACACATGGTGACCACTTCTAGTGACACACAGGTGACCCTATGTCATGCTAATGAATACTTTTGAGATGATCTACTTAGCTAAACAAATCATTGTCTAAAATAAAGTGGATAGCTGCAAAATCCATATCAAAACAATAAAAAAACTAATGCAAAAAACCCATACAGGTATCTAAACAAAGACACTAGAGTGTTGCTAGGTTAACAAACATTAAATGAACATCTTTTCATGAGCTCCACTGCACTCTTAACATGTCACCCTAGTCCTGTAACCTATACATCTTTCAATTCAAGTTTGCCTCAGCAGCATGTGACAGCTGTATCATTTAAGATGGACATCTACTTCTTTTAATGCCATATCTCACTATGTAAAACCCCACTGAAAGGGCTGGAAATTTCCATCACATTGAAAAGGCTGATTCAATATCCTCTTTAATGACTGCAATCTCTTTCTTTAAAACTTTCTTATATAATTTTGGACTGTATTCATTTGCAGCATGTATTTACACAGAAAGATAGGAGAGGCAGCAAAAGAATTATCTTCTTCACTTTCAGGAATGCAACTATTATGATTGGCAAAACACTGTTTTTCTCCAAAAGAAATTCTGACTGATCAATTAGATCTTGCTTCTCCCACAAAATAGTTATATCAGGGTCTGTCATATTCTCCTCGGAGAACACAAGTATTGACAGAGGTTTCTTCTTAAACAAATACCACAATTTCTCATTATTCAAATTCACATGCTGGGTCCCAAGTTTAGCCAAAATCATTTTGATAGAAGAAACTTCCTAAAGAGAGCCAATAACAGCATCTAGAAAATTAGGTAGGAATGCACTTTGTGGGACTGTGTTGCAAAAAGATCAGTTATTTGTAGCTGCATACAATGTGTTAATGTGTTAATAGTAGTTTGCTGTGATTATTAGTATCTAAGTGACGGATGAAAACCTGAGGCTAAATACATTATGATTATTATTATTACTACTATTATTATTATTTGCTGTTCTACTTCTACTGAGTAGCATAGTCAGATCTCTATTTTCAAAAGCAGATGTTTTTATTTGGTGGAAGTCTTTCAACATAAATATAAGGAACTGGGAGATTTATTTGTTGTAGTAGTTATACTTTCTCCTTTTCTTCACCCAGATCTGTAAACTTCATAACTGATTTATAGCATTTGGGAACTGATCCTGAAAATCTATTACAGTTTGCACATGGAAATTAAAATTAGACTACACTGATTTTTTAAAGCAGTTTATTATATCAGTCTTGTCACTTATTACCTGGATTTTAAATTATACAGTGCAAGATCACACTTAAAAATACGTTAAAAGAGCCCTCTCTTAAAATGCTGATAAAGCATACTGTTCATGTTTCAAATAATTGATAATTTCTTCCATATTTACAGATTTTAAAATATTAAATAAGACAAATGCTATTACTGTCCTGTTTTCTTCTTGTTGTCAGCAAAACAGCAGCAGAAGGTAAAGCATTGCCTGCAGCATGACCACTTTGCTTTCAAACCACTTTTCTGCTCTGGATTAATGCTTTAAGTCTTTTCTAGTGTATAATCATTGCTGTTGCAGCAAAGAATAAGCAACATTTTCCAGCAGATCAATTTTATTTGGTTCTGACAGAGGAAAGGTTTTCTCAAAAACTTACAAAGCTGTCTTAAATTCAACTAGATACTAATAATTCAACAGAAGAACAGCTAGGAGGAAAAAAGGAGGGAGATTTTTTTTTCCCCCTTCTGAAAATAACCTTGAGTCCTCATTCCTCCATATGGTAAGAATCCACCACGAGTAAAGAAACCAAAAGGAAGGTGAGATAAAAGGAAAGACTAAATGGTCACACAGCTTAGTGACACAGTTGTAGCATTTTGAATTACTTTGTTCTCCGAGATATAAATGATGATGACAATCCAGGGTTACAGAAGAACAGGATGAGGAACAGACAGAAGTCTGAAAAGGAAGAGGAAAGAAGGGGGTCTGGGCGACTGGAATGGACACATGAAGTGCTTGCAAGGAAGAAGCTTACATAGACAGAGAATAAAGGGATGACAGCAAAAAAAGAAAAAAAATTAAAAATCAATACTTAAAAAAAAATGAGCATAAGGGACTGGCTGCTCCAATGCATGCAAGTTCTGTTCCTATCAGTAGGTCAGTGATCAAAAAAGGAAACAATCTTTCCCAGTAAGGACTGTCCATCCCAAATGAAGTTAAACTGCAGTTTGCCTTTCAGTACTGACAAGATTTAGCCTGGATGACTGGATTTGCAGAGCTGCTGCTCAGCCTCCTCCTTACTTCATCCTCTACCTCCACAAGCATGCTTAAGCTCTCAAGTGCTTGCTATACTTAGTGTAGAGTAGAAAACAGAACAAGAGAGCATAGATGAAGTTTCTGGAACAAAAAGGAAAAGAATCCATAGTGATCTTTGAGGACATCTAATCCATATCACAGCACAAGGGGTTATCAGTCTGGACACTCTGGACAGAACAGTCAATTGATATTGGTGGAAATATTTCAGACTAGTCTTGTTGCAGCTGCTTCCAGCTCTTCCTGAGGAAGTCACTGCTTGTCTGAAAGGCTAGTGGTGCCTGGAAGCTGTTAGTATTTCTCTGGTTACTGAGATCTTCACTAAGATTTGTCTGTTTATGCAAGTTAAATGATGGTAAATCCCAAAAATACAACTATCACATGGCATAATGGAATCCACATCTGTACTCTATGTTCATATCACTGAATAACCTCCTCTGTCCTTCCTCCCCACCTCCCCCCTATTCCCTCCCTTTTTTTTTTTTTTTTTTTTAATATGGTAAGACTATTCATCCAAGTTAGAGCAGAGAACAGCCGAAGCAGCCCACACACATATGCACTAGGCTTAAATTCTTTGGAAGACTATGTTGTTCAAGCTTTCCTTCTATTTATCTAAAATGGCACAAGCAAAAGATGTTATAAAAAAACTTGACAGAATGCTTGGGGAGGGAGAAGGAATGGTCATTTTCATAAGGAAAGAATATTACTTTCACACAATCTAGTGTCATTTTTATGTTTACACAACACAACCAGTACAGTTTGAGCATATCACATACCGACAGATTAACAGGACCTCCTACCTTGACTTCATCCTCTCATGCATTCTCCCATGCTGGATACATTGTTGGTCCAATTCATCATTCCGTTTCTGCATCTTCTCCAATCTGCCATGAAGATACTCTTTTTCCTGACTAAGCTGGTTGACTTCAGATCTACAGAAGTAAAACAAAGCGATGATGGATGTTGTCAGATTTCATCCTGCAGCGTGCCATCAATATGTGGCTTCAGCATTTATAAAATTTCATACATGTATATGTAATGCATAAACAAGCTATTACTAGAGTGTACAGAAACAAAACTCTGTTTCAGAAAATCTTAAGACAAAAGAACATGATGCTGAAGGATAACTGGTAAATATGCCAATGGCAATCACTCAGTCATAGGTTGGCTAAGCTAATTTCAGCCTTATTTAAACAGGCATGCATGTCACTTTGGCATTATCCACTGATGTTAAAGAAGATCAATAAATGTAAATTCAGATTTGTTAAGCAAGAATTTGGCTAGCATTTTGAAAACACATTTCAACTTCTTTATTAGCAGCAGCTAACATATAGTTTAAAAAACCAGCTACTAAAAACTTGTTCAACCTTTATTGCACTGCACAGGTTGAAATCTAATTAGTGGTACTGTTTTAGTAACTTTATTAACCTCATATGCCCAAAATAACATTACACATATTTTAAAAAATTAAAAAAAAAAAAAACAGCAAAAACAAAACCCCACAAACCCTTCCAGCCCCTGCCCCCCTCCCCGAACAAAAAAGAGAAAAAAAAAAAACCACCTCAAAACCCAAAGCCACACTAAGAGGAAAATTAGTAAAACCTTAAGAAATGAGGGACAAATCATGCAGGCACGCACTAACCTACATAAACCTCATCACAATCTTTAAGAATATTAGTCACTTCTAAGCAATTTTTATTCTTCACGGGTGAGCAGAGACACCAGATCCATGAATGACCTGGGACTGCTACTTGCTACATCTCTAACCATCAGCCCATGGAGAAACAGGCATGAGCTGTTTCTTAATATCAGGAAAAGACCTCAGATTAAATTGTGATAAAATATACATTATGCACTTGTACAATTTTAACTCTTTGGAAAAGGTTAATGAGAACATGTCAGAATCTGCTATACCATCAGAAAGTACGAATCAAAAGCAAACAAATTTGATTTATGGCATCTGCCACTCCAGATCTTGAGATTAAAAATCTTCAGATATATCTTTAAATCATAAACTTAAATATGCTGCAATTACAGCAGAAAGATACTTTACCTTCCTGGCTGTTACAGAATGCAACAACAACTGACATTCTGAAAAATACAACAAAGTGCAGGGGGGAAGGAATACTCCTCCTTCGAAATCATGTTGTTACATTGACAAGTCAAATCTAGAAATGACAACATAATCTTTTCATGTTTAAATAGAGAACAATGCATGATATCATCTGTGAATCCAAAAGAACTTAGCAAGGGAAACTTTGGATGAAGGCTGTATGTAATTAAATTTAGATAGGGAGTTACAGCTCTGTTAAGGAACATCACAGTTGAATACATCAGAATTGTGCTGATATATTTGTACATCAAACTTCAGCGCCCAGGAGTTTCCTGGATAGGCACACTGTAAAAGTGGGTAGGATGTTATAGGAAGGTAGCAGAAATTGAATATGTACACTGGTCATTTAACAGAAATACCAGTAACTTAAATGTCAGCATTAACAAAGCATTGCCAACTGGACCAACTGTTATCACACAATGTGAATGCAGTCTGTACTTGACACTGATACTGTAAGACAGACAAGCAGTGGATAAAAGTAAAGGTCCACTGCAGAGCAGCTCAACAGAGACCTGACATGACAAAACCCAACCAAGTGATAACACAGACTAAATTCATTACTGTGTTCCTTTTTCTGTCAGCAAAATTCAGCAACTGAATTTGCCATGTAGGAATACAGTAAATCATCATGGTTTTAGGGTTTCTCAAGTGGGGGGGATCCTGCTTCTTTTTCTGTACATATATGTGATTGTCTCATTCATGGAAACAGCAGAAGGAACTTTCAAGGTGATAGAAATCCCAAAAGTTTTACAAGGACTTATTTATCCCCATCGCATTTGAAGGTGCCTGAAATCTTTCTGGAAAGATCAAGGAATTCAAATCAACCAAAACTAAAGTGCTACTGAATAATACAATTAATAAAACAAAAGCAACACAAGTAGCATAATCAGTAAAATATAGCATAATCAGTAAAATACAGTCATAAATGCCTGATGCTTTGAACCATGATATTAGTGGTGTCTTCTCCTAAAACATCTCTTGTAATTACAGTTTAACGCAGGAAAAAAAAGCAACCTATTAAGATATTATTTACACAATGCCTTTTCCATGTAAATATCTAAGAGTTTCACCACCAAGATTCAAGTATTTAATGACAGGGAAGTTTTGAAGGGCAGTACATATGAAGGGCAGAATGCCCATTAAGGACAGTGTTAAAAGGTTTATGTGTGTCAGCATGAAAGAGAGAACCAGTCCCAGTACAATACTGCACACCAAGAGTCTTCATCATCACTTGTCAAAGTTTCCCTCTGCATCTTTAAATATACCTTTCATCCACCCCAGTTTCCAAAGACAGAACAGATAATTCTGTGTGATATTTAAATAACTCGATAAATTGTTGGGGTAAAAAAACCCACCACAACTCCCCTCTCCCCCTGTCAAAACCAACCACATTGTAATAAGCCTGATAACCGTACTGAATGGGATAGCACATTTATATAGGAGGAAGGGGCAGGACCAGTTCTGCGTAAATGCTTCTGAATTACTCTGCTCCCAGGGTGTCACAGCAGGGGTGCGAGACAGAGGGGAACAAGAACCAAGGTACACAGTGCTGAACTTAGAGACAGCCCACTCATAACGCCAGGGACAGAGGCAAGCTAGAAATAAGTATGTGCTAAGCACTATGTCTGATGGGTTCAGCACAACTAAAGGGCACAGCACTGGTGTGCTGATGGTGTTCCACAAGAGCTACTCTGAGTTCAACAGTCTGAGCAGTAAGATGTGGTGGACTTAGCAGAAACTGAAGCATGCAGACATTTGGAGCGCCGCCATCTAAGCTGAATTCTGCATGAAGGTGCACTTCTGCAGACTCAGGCTGGCCCCACGAGTCATGCAGTCATGTATCTGTGTGTGCCTCAGAGATCTGATACACTCAGAAGACCTGTATGAAATCAATCTTATTTTGACTACACTGAGCAAAGCTACAATAACACATGAAAATGAAAATATAAAATGCACGCTTGTAATTAAATGCATAATAGATTTTACCAAATTTCATTTATTTGTCAGTATATTAAAAATAATTGATGTCGGGCAGAAGCAACAACAAAACCCCTCTATACTTCTGGATCCATCCACTACCTCAGCTCCTATTTAAAAAGCAATTTAAGGTTTATTTACCATCGCTAGTGGAAGAGTCTTGGAAAAAAAACCCACGCAAGTTTCTCTAAAACACTCAAGCACAAAAGGCAACAAAAATGCACAAATATTTAAAAGTCACAATTCAAAGTCAGTCTTAGGACATTTTTAGGATGAGCTGGTTTTTGAACACTAAAGTGGCAATCCTGCCTTTAATCCTTTGAACTACCTTTTGCATTGCAGTGCTGTTTAAACATTGTCTTTTTGTGCTCTTAAACCCAATTGTTTATTTGTAAGGAAATTAAATACACACTCTAAAATATTTTCTGCTGATGCAGTATTGTTGCATTTAATTTTAACGACTGAACCTTCAGACAGACTGTTTCCCATCTTCGTGCAGCTACCTTCAACAAACATTTCACTCCTGGTATTGAGTGCAATGACTGCAGTCAACCAAACATGCAGAAAAATAGTTCAGCCGGGTATGTGTTCTTTACTTCAATTAAACTCACACAGTTGGATGCCTACTGTTGCCAAACCGGTAATATAATTTATACATTATAGTCCAAACAGTAAAACTACACTAAAAGTCATTTAACAATATTTATAACACCATAAAATACAGTGTTAAAATATATGAACTGCAATATGTACCAAAATTATAAAATTTGTTTCTCATCATCAGTGATTAAAACCAGGATCATTGCTCTAGCTTCAATACCCACAACCCTGGTGACAGATTAGAATTCAAATCTTAATGATCAATTTACAATTAACAAGATAGAAGTGAAACAAATTAAACCAACCATTATATATAACGAGACCCAATGGACTCCCATTGTTCCCCTTAATTACAAAACGCAAATCACAAATACACAGTGGGTAGCGTTAAGCATTAATCTACAACCTAGAAACTCAGACAGTGACAATCAGAGAAAAAAAAAAGAACAAAACAACAGAGAAGAAATCAACAAAGAACTATATTTTTAAACATGCCTATGCACACGAAAACCTTAACAGACACTATCTTCTTTCTGCACAGCTTGAGGGGTTTATAATTTGTCTGACATTGTCTTTCCGAAACATTTCTGTATAGGGACTAGCTCACAAGAATGGTTCCAGCTTACATATAAACACATAAACTTCAGTTTAGATTTCTCAGAAAACCCACATTAAATATAAAAATATATCTGCCATTCGGATGCATCTCACTGAAATTGTGCAAATATGAAGTTGTCACAGATAATTTTGAAATAGCTATTATTACAAATGGGCACTTCCCATCAAAAGCAAGAATATTCAAATAAAACTTATTATTGCATCTGTTCAAAAAAGAGTTTTAGTGTTTCACCAATTAAATAATGGTACTGGTAATATACAGTTATTTCTTAAACCCACGGAAACTAAGGTACAAAGATTCTACAAGTATAGCAAGAACATACACATCCAGGTCCAAAATTCAGTTTATGGTAAGGTCAAAAACATGTAAAAAACCAAAAATAGAAAATATATTTTCCATGCAAATTGAGTACACTGCTGCTTCATGATTTACTTTTATTAATATACTTAAGAAATAGGCTATAAAATCTTCCCCAAAATATTATTTTTTTCAGAAGACAAAGCTACAACATTCTGTCCCAGAATTCTAGTTTTACACTATATCCAGTGACAATGAGAACAAAGATTGCCTTTGGAGAAGTGCTACTGAAAGATACATGCTGATCATGCACTTAAAACTTGGCCAAAGTAATTTTCTGCACCTGATCATATCACTCTCTGAAGTCATCTGTATTAGACTCATTTCCCACCATCTCCTGCTCTACCTTTCTGTTCTCATTTTTACATTCTGTCTTTGTCCCTTCCCATTTCTCCATTCTTGTTACTGACTGCAGCAGCTCCAGCTCCAATGAAAGCAAGTTCAAGCTATTTTAGGGCCACTTCTCAGAACGACTTTCATGTATTCTTCCTCACAGTTTCTTGCGTAAAATATACCACTTTCTGGAGATGCAAGAGGGCTCCTTTTCCCTTTTTCAGGTTCCTGACATAGTCAGCTAATGTTGCTAGGTGGAGAAACACTTGGCAATCTTTAGTATTTATTTTCAGAGAATAATGTGTTTTCACAGTATGTTTTCTGTCTTTGCTTCATCCTTTACAGTTACTAGTCTGTGACTGTGAGCTCTAGCAACAAAGTCTGTGTGCATTTTTATTGCTGGAATAATAATACGATTCGAATCTATTTAGATTTTAGCAGAAGAGCTCTGCTTTTTCAGAAGAAAAATTCTGTTTTCTTCTCTCTCAAGTACCCATCACAACATTTGCAAGGAAAGATTGCCTACAGTTCCGCAAGTTTCTCATTTCTTCCCCAAATGCTCTGGATGGGATTCATCTCCCAGCTTCAGCCGCTTAACAGCTAGTCAACACTTCGTATTTGGTGGAAAGTAGGATGGGCAGTGGAGGCAGTACCCGTGGGAAGCATCCTATAAGATGGACATATATATATATGTGTCTGTCATCTACTTTTGTTATTCCTCTTTGACCATTCTTAGAAAGAGGATAATGGGGTAAATGAGCTCTCTCACTGAGTGTTGCCCCTGTTATGTTACCGCGAGAGGATGATTAAATCCACCTAGCAGAAGAAGAATCCTATCTTGAAAACCAATTTCATCTTTGCTCAGTGTTTTCCTTACCTCACATCAGCCATGAGAGGAATCCTAGCCTTACTTACCAAATTCACTTTGCATATAATTTACAGAAGCTGCAGAATGCCAACTCTCCACTGAAGTCCAGTTTAGTACACTAAATATGAACCCCACAGAAAGTTTCAACAGATACTGTTTTCCCACTTAAAAATGTGAAATCAAATTATTTACTGCCATAGAACTAATCTTGATAGTTCTGTCCTATAGAACTTTTAAACAGAAACCTCCATAGCTTTGTATTTGTTTAAATTATTATTGCTTCTAGGTTTTGTCCTCTTCCTCAATTTTCAATGCTTGGAATTTAGACCTGCTATTCATGGAAAATAAGCAGCAGCAGAATCAGAGCTTCAATGACAAGCAATTTTGATAACAATTACTTCATAGACAATATTCAGTGTGTAGCATAGTATTGTGAAAGGAGCTTTAAGTAAATAATTTAACCAACAGACAATAAGTTTGACAACTTTAAATCTTTCGCATTTTTCATATAACTTCAGATAAACTCGAACTATAGCTTCGTTACCAATTTTCTGCCTCTCATATTAAGAATATGAACACCAGGAAGAAAATAGTATGCAATTTTTACATTGGAATTGTCCAAGAAATTCAAAGTATTAGTCAGAAGCATAATATGGACAACAGAAAACTAGAATCACCCTTTTTCTTAAAAGGCATATATTACATTGATATGATGTGTAATACCTGGGAGAAAATGAATAATAAAATTAAAATACAAATAAAAAAATAAGGAAGTATGTCCTAGTAATAAAAGGGGCAGGTTAAGAAAAATACACTAACCTGTATTTTTCTGACATTTGTTCCAACTTCCTTGCCAACATACAACATTCTTCCTTTAATTTTGCTATGAATGTATTCTGGGAGGTCAGCAATGAATCCAGTTCTTCTACTAGAAATCATAAAATTATGATGTAATGATATAAATCTATTTCTAATGATAAAAATTATATAAATTTATAGATAACTTAGAAACAATTTTATATATTCCTACTTTCTTTCTTCTAGATTCTTCTAATTTTGAAATGTTTTTTAAACTTCAGCTACTTGGGTATGGAATTAAGACACCATCATTTACCAAATTAAGGCTCTATGTCAGAATTAGCTAAAGTGTTAAAGCAATGTTGCCACTGAATCTGGTCTTGTAAGAGAAGAGTAACCATGAAGACTAGATATCTAATCTGGTGGTTTTGCTTTTTAGCTAGAAGTTAATTGACATTTCTAGGAGAAATAAAATTGGCAAGCAATGCTTTAGTAGACTTTTGCTTGCTTAATTGGTGCAGAGGACACACTGACAACTCAAACAACATTTGAGTCTACAACTGTAGACTTATTAAGTAACTCCTTAAAAAAGCAGTTCTTTTATTTACCAGGTCTTGAGCTTCTTATAATTAACGTAACTTTTTTTCTTAAATGATAAGAAATAGACTTATTCTCCAATGACAGTTGGAGTGAAACCATTTTATAAATTAATTTTCAGTTACTTTAGGCTGCACCAAAGCTCATGACCTAGCATTCAGGCATCTTCATTCTTTCAAAATGAAGATACTACAAAATGATGTTTCTTCATGTCTGCTTTTAAAATTGGAGAGAGCAAGACCATTCTTAACCAAATTCCTTGTATGTGTGTAGGGTCATAACAATCAAAGGTTTCTTTATATACATAATAAACGACTATAATTTTCAACTCCTAATCCTGCTAGGGATATAAAAAACAAACCGAGACATAATGTTGTTTCATTTTTGTATACTGGGACAATTCATGCACCAGGAGGGTAAATTACATCTCTCTTGTGCAAAATTACACATGGTCATATGCAGATGTGCTGGCTAAAGGAGGGAAAGATGATTCTGAGAGCTCCTTTTCTTTTCTTACAGTGTAGGCAGCAGCCATAATGTAGCTGTTTGCATTCCCTGAACACATGGAAAAGTCCTCTAGTACTGTGATAATGCTGAAAAAAGGCAGAAAATCAGACAGCAGATATAAACATGCCTGCTACCTCAGGTATTATCCAACGCTTCTTAGGATAGTTTTCCTAAACGCATTGCAGGACTAGCGGGTACAAATGGTACTTTATTAAACACATGAATATATCATGTTCCATAAGAGCTGAAACTCCTCCTTCTTTTTGTGCTCAAGGGTTAGAGATTTCCTCTCTAAAAAAACCCTTCTTTTAAAATTTTTGTTTTGTTTATTTATAATATGTACCTTTATTACTGTTGTTGGCATAGTACTTCACAATAACAAAAGGCTTTTTTTTGTTTTTTGGAAAACCCATTTTACTTCCAGATTAAACTTAGAAGTTATTGATTGGCTAAGTCAATGCAATGAAGTCTCCTATTTTGAGAACCTGAAGTATGCAAGGGATTAAACATCTTTCTTCTAGATTGAGGATGTGTGGGGGGGGGCACATGGTAATGCTAAAAATGTTTGAGGCTGCAAAGATTAAATAAAGGAACATATCAATTTGGAGCCAGTGAATTACATCCAGCTGCGACAGTGAATTAAGAACCGATTAATGGCTAAAGCTTTTCTCCAGTTTGGATGCCGAAGCAAACTCATTAAGCTTTTAGAGTAGCTATAATGTGTGTACTGTGGGAACTGTTCAATGCTATTCAGGAGACTTTAACTGTAAGCTCAGAGCATTTCCCGCAGAGCTTCTGATGCTATTTTCTTTATATAACATGTGTGCCTGAAAATCCAGCCAAAAACAAGCCCTTTGTTTTTCTACTTTGTTGTGGTCTCTCTCAGCTTTACGTTTCTTGAACACAGGTAAATAAACTCATAATCCAGATGGTGCAACAGATGTGAGAGCAGCACTCTGAAATCAACAGACAGTGGGCAATACTTTCCATTTTCTCTTTTAAACGCTAACTAATATGTAATTCGGAATCTCCGGTGTAGTTAGCATCTGCTCCCTTCGGCCAGCCAAAGGTTACAGGTGTTCCTGATGTCATTTCACAGTAAGGCGTGGGCCTGGCTTGTGAGTGAGTGCCCAGGCTCTAATCTTTCCCTACCACCTACCAGTTTTCTCATGCTGGGCCTCCATTTGCTGCATCTTCTGTGTCAGCTCCTGCTCTCTTTGCTGGGCCTGAAGGGCTCGGGCCTTTGCTTCATTGCTAACGCTGTGCTGAATGCTCTCTTTCTCCAATCTATAAAAAAACCATAAAGAGGAAATAAAAAAAAATAAAAATCACATACTGAAGATGATAAATTAAAAGGGTAAAGCAGAACATGCAAATAATAATAACAAAAAATCTGACCACATTTTCATATTAAACATTCTCCTCCCACTTCAGGTTATACAAACTGACCTTTCTCTTACAATGTCAAACATCCTCCAGTGACTAGTAGAAAATGGATAAAAAAATTATCTATTTCCTGAGAGAAAACTGGCCTTGCAGACAAAAATAGCATTTTATTTTTAAAAATTTTAAACATGACCTCTTTTTCATAAGGAAGCTTTCCACTTCGCATTGAACAGATTATTTTTATTTTTCTTTTAAATGCTATTTGTTTAACTCTGCAATGAAGCTTAGAGACCTGACCCTGAGATGGACTGGTTCCCAGTGAACCAGCAGGAGATAAGTCAATGGGAGTGATTGCCACAGTGCTCATAATACAGCTACTCTGAAAGCTTAATGAGTTTTCTTAAGCAACCAAACAAGTTTTAACTATTAATTTATGTAAATAGGAGATGAATGCATCCGTTACAATAGACAAGACTGCTAGCACCACACAGGCCCAGCCTCTTGTGGTTCTGCTCACTGGGGGGTTGTATAGGAAGGTCTAAAGCCCAGTATTATTATCGAAGTACACAGGCAAGAGAGCAATTTACTTGACCAGATATGCAAGATGGGGCAATTTACTCCTGAGGCAAAACAAATGCTAGACTACCACACTCCATTGAAGCATTTTATTTAATGCAAGCCAAGCAAAAACAGCATGGAAAATAAACACCCCAAAAGATATATTCATATAAATTAGAAAAGGTCCTAAACTGCAAATTCATACCTAGACTTTCCCAAAGGTTGTGGATATTTATGTGATGCACATTGGGATCCAGGTTCAAAATGTCAGTGAGTTCACACACACAAGGATTGATTTCTAGATTTCAAATGACATGTAAGCACACATCTTTCTAGTGAAATGACATTTAATAGCTTGGGATAGGTTTCAACAAAGTATTATAAACATGTTTTATTCTAGGGATAATACCTATTTCAGAGGACTCCAAAAGAGAACACAGGCATAGATCATGTAAGGATAAAGCCACATCTCATGTGGTTGCTGCACTTAACCTTTGGATTGGTGCCTAATAACCCATCCGAGATATTGCAATATCTCAGCATGACACACACAATGTTAAATCTTCTCTCTCAAATTTACCCCAAAGCAATACAAATGGTGGGTCACATTACACTAATTCCTGGTCCTGATGTTGCAAGCTCTACCTTAGGCAAAACTCCCTTGGAAATCACAGGCAGTTCCTTCTGAGGTAAGACAGAGAATAAATTTATATTGCAAGAATATTAGAGCATTAAGGAAACAAAGCACATTTTTGAAGGAAATTTCATACATTGAATTGCACTTTATCACACCACTCTCGGCATTACTTCACAACCATATTGTGGCTATCCTAAGGAGCAACGCTCACATTCATTTCCTAAGTGTAAACTCCAAATACGGAAAGCATTACTAAGAAGATTTTTTCCGTATTTGCTGGAAACCAGTCTATGCAAACTCCTTCCCTTTTACAAACATTTTTTACCTTCAAACAGTTGCAATGAGCAGCAGACTGCTCAAAAAGAAAAACAACACCAAACCACACACCAGCACTTCACACATCCCCCCAACACTTTCAGCTAAAGAAAATGTCAGTAGACACTATTAAATAAAATACTGTACATGTGAGATGGCTGTGTGCAGTTGGGTGCCGTGCTGTCATCTGGCACACAGCTGGCTGGCTAGCATTCTGCTGGGGGTAGCCTTCAGCATGTATCAAGCTGCACAGCTGAAGCTACCAAAGCAAGCCTGTAGAGGTCCATCCCTCATTGCTAAGGTCCCTCCTGACAAACACATGCTGATGTTCAAGTTCAAAATAAATGCAGAATCTACTGCCACCGGAAACACTCTCTTGTTAAGGTGACCCATTCAAAAGAGCCATTCACCTGTGTTACTTACTGTATAGAGCAAACTAGCAAGGGCTTAGAAACCATGGATGTGTGGTGAGTTCCCTACAGCTGAAATGGCTGAAGAATGGTTGGAATGGTTGACGATGAGTTTATACAGTGGATAAAAGTGCAATTGTAAGACTACATGTGTTCACATGTAATTGTTACACAGAAGGGTAGCTTCTCAGAACCTAAAATATTTTGGGATTAAAACATATCCAGTGGTACATAAAGAACAGTATCTGAGGTGCTTAGAGCTGCTGAGGAATGAAAAAAAATTCCTGGAGCCAAAGCTGCCTAAACAGAGTGGCAAGTCTTTCACCCACACCTTGAGTTGTCACCTTCTCCACTCTCTAAGTTCAATCTCTCTTCCCCCCCCAACTGAAAATTTCCCCAACACATATACAGAGAAATAAGAAAAAAAGTATAAAACATGCAGAAGGCAACCTAAGAGATTTCAGGACCTATTGGTATTCCTGCTACAATCAGCAAATACTGCAGGAGTTTGAGAAGGTTTGACACTGATTATTTGCAATTACTCTGAATTGTGAAAGAAGGGGTACTTGGCTTAAGAAAAAGGAAGTCTATGGACTGCAGACAGAAGGAAACAGTCCTTAGTCTCTCCAGCATTAGTGTGAAGATTTCAGAAGTCTCCTCCTTACAAAGACTTCATAATTTCTCATATTCACTAAAGGAAAGCACAGACACATGTAAAGAAAAGCTACAACAGACTAATTTTGATGGCACAGGTAAGATCTGAATCAGAAATGTCAACTAAAGATTAATAGTTCCAGCACTTTTTAAAACTTCATCTATAGAGAGCAAAACCAGGGCACAGAGTGGTTAAAGTGCAACAGCCTGTTCTCTACTCAAATGCAAACACTGACTCAAAACTGGAGACAGCAGCAAAAGTTACAGCTCTTTCACACAATACTCTTTGCAAAACACTGAGCAAATGTCCATCTGATACTAAGTCTGCATTTAGTTGTAACACTGATCACTTTTACTAAAGCAGAAGCATTGAACTCATGGCGACTTTCCTTTTTGTGCCACTGAAGTCAGAAGCAACCACTGAGACAAGCTCAAGCTCTTCCTGAGGCCTGTTCTGAAGTACAAGTTTTCCACAGTGATTTTATTCCTAAACATTGACTGTTTTGAGTGTGTATTATGACTGCAAAGAGCCACAGGCAACTTATTTAACTGATGTCTCAACAAACTGGATATTAGTTTGCAGTGCTTGAAAGCTACGTTTTCTACATGTTCTTGACAAAAAAGGCGCTGTAAACTGCAGCTTGTAGCACAGGAAGAAGAAAATTGCCATCACTGGTAAACCTTAAAAAAAATCCTTGCTGAAAATGAAGTGAAAATTCACTTCGACCTCAAAGTTAACATAAAAGTATGAGGCTGAATTTGACCCATCAAATTTAATAAAGACACACAAATAAATAAAAAACCCAATCCCCAAAACACCTTTCCCACCACTAACAAAGAAAAACTGGATCACAGATCCATTTTCAATAGAAGACTACTCTCCACCAAATGGCTTTGCAGTAAAGAAAAACAAAGGATGTAAAGACTACTGATATAAAAGTCATATTTGACATAAATAATAGCTTGTCTATTTTTGACTGTAAAAGAAAAGAACTTAGATTGGTAAAACTTTGAATTTCACAACACAATCCAACAGTAGGCATTTTTGAGTCTTTTCAGTTTGGTAACTGTAAAAACACAAAGAGAAAAAGTACAGGATGGTTCTCAATGTAGAATTCAGCATCTAACTGGAGGCTGTCAATAAGTCTTCTAACAAAGCAACTACGATTTGAAGCAATCATGCTTACTATATTGACTATTTGATTTTTCCATGAGATCAACATGTGGCATTTTGTAAAAAGCTAATGGATCCATTAGTAAGGACTATGAATTTAATTGGACAAATTAAAACACTCTAGTAATTATCTCAGTTTAGTGATACACAAGCGGTTATCATAACATTACTTTTGACATCTTCAGTTCATATTAATTATAGTTAAAAAATGTAACTATAAAATATTTCAGCTTTAGATATTTAAACTGAACTTCATAATTCATTAAGGAGTAGCTACCATTTAGTCTTTCAAATGTTTGAGCTATCTGAACCAACAAGACTGCTGTCTAAATGATGACCAGTCCTGGAACTCTGTACCAACACTCATACTTGGGCAGCAAGAGGACCAGTCAAGCCAAACACTGATGCTTTTACCCCATGCCTCAGTGGTCGAGCACAGACCTCTTTCCTAGAAAACACAGAGCCAAGTGGGCCAGCACTGTGAGCGAATGCACAATAAATCACCTCAGCTTAAGGCTCAGAGGAAATGCACTTTTTCTCCCAGTATTTTTGAAAATAAACGTATGCAAAAGCTTTTCTACCAAATTGAAAAAGTTTTGAGGAGTTACTCAAGCATTTTATTCCCAGTATCTTTAATAAAATCTGGTATGAAGGCACTCAGATCAATTAAAACACTTTCGAAAGTAGGACTTGAAAGGCTACATGTATTAGGAACCCTAAAGACCAATAGCTTTGGGTACAAAGGCTCAGCAATGTTTTAGCAGTCTGCTTTGCAAGTTTTCCATGATATAGGTGTACTGGATTGTCTATTACAAGCAGATTTCTGAACCACCTACTCATAGGTTATTTCATCTTATTATTTCAGCTACAAGTGTCAAGGGAAGAATGCTCTTCTCTCAGGCTACAGGAGGTAAAAACCCCAACCAACCAAACAACAAATTCATGACTAACAAAAAATCCAAAAGAATAAAAGCTGAAACAAGAGATCACAATATTTGCCCTATTCTGTGAAGGGAAACATGATAACAATTTTTGCCATCCTTACTTTACTATCAGAAACTATTCAAAATTAAGGTCATAAAAGAATGTATACAGAGTAAGATCACACTTCACGAATTTCTTCCCTCTGTATTCCATATGTATCTTTGCAAGT